TACCAGAAGGTCAGTGTAGCTATCCCAATTCTTCTTCTTCTTTTTTTTTTTTGTCAGTTGTGGGGCTTGAACTCTGGGCCTGGGTGCTGTCCCTCAGTTCTTCAGCTCAATTCTAGCACTCTACCACTTGAGCCACAGCACCACTTCCAGTTTTCTGCTGGTTAATTGGAAATAAGAGTCTCATGGACTCAGGGCTGGCTTTGAACTGCAATCCTCAGATTTCAGCTTCCTAAGTAGCTAGGATTACAGGCGTTAGCCATGGGTGCCTGGCCTAATTTTTGTCTCTAGGTATTTAGACCCCAAGTCCAAAGTTTGAGAGTCTCATTTAGGTCCAGCCACTTGCTCCCATATGTCAAATAGAGGCATACATGGTCAGCCAGGCACTGGTGGCTCATTCCTGTAATGCTAGCTATGCAGGAGGCTGAGATCTGATCTGAGGATCGCCATTCAAAGCCAGCTGAGGCAGGAAAGTCCATGAGACTTTTATCTCCAATGAACCACCAGAAAACCAGAAGTGGCTCTGTGGCTCAAGTGGTAGAGTATTTGCCTTGAGCTGAAGAGCTGAAGGATATCGCCTAGGCCCAGAGTTCAAGCCCCACAACTGACAAAAATAAAACAAAAGAGACAAGGTGAAAGACAGAGTAATGAGATTTGTTATTACATCATAGCTATGGGGAGATAGCATGTCAGTACAACTTCAGCCATCTTCAGAGCTTTAGATATTGATTTCTGGTTAAATAGGGAGAATTGGGTGATAGGGGTGTAAAAGGTATGCAGTTAAAACAGTACCAAGTTTCAAGTCTAGCCTGGCTGACCATTATCTATATCTTCATCCTTGGAGGAGTTCTGGAGGAGTTTTTTTTTTTTTTTAATCACTTTATTATTGGAACAGAACAGGAACAAGATGATCTCCTGAGTTTTGAGCTCTTTTTTCAGATGATAAGGCTTCCCCATTTGAGGGGTAGGTTACAGGCCACAGAAGATGTTTATCATTGAATATTTTCTTTCCTCCTGAAGCCCTAGGTGATTCAGATCAAAGGGCACAGATACCAAGTTGTGGGCCTTTTAGTTAATTCACAGGGCCCTACAAAAGCATCTTTTCAGTTGCCTCTTAAAAAAGAAGCAGCAAACGTGACAATAATGTTTTATTTGAAAAGGAATACATTTTCAATTCTTGATGGGAATTTATCATGCAAGGTTTTTATTGAAGTTGAGGGACTTGGTGAAATTCCTCCTCAGGACCACTTCAGGAGGCTTGTTTCTGGGCTTGGGTCTTTATTTTGTTGAGTTGGATATCTATAGTTCTAAGCACTTCAGTTAGAATAAAGCTTTTCATTAATCCTTAGGTGAGTAAAAGACTCAAAAATATCTCTGTCATCTCGTGACATAGGTGAGCTGTTTTGTCTTAACAGATGCTGGTCACCTGCCAATCTAGCAGTTTAAATTACAATATTTTCTCTCATAAATTAAGGGATCTCTTCCTGTGTTTTAGATTCCCTTTGCATATTCCCATTACTCATGGCTGCTACCTGGCACTTTCAGTTAATTTGGGGGCCCAAGTAAGGAGTCAGTGTTTTGTAGGAAAAGCAGCTTATAAGTACCTATTACAATACCATTGTCATTTTTCTAACCAATCATTTGAACCCTACAGCTGCTTTAACCCTTTCTTAGCTATTCTATAAGCTATATATCATAATGGGAAGTATAATGTGAAATCTGAGAGTTAATGTTAGTAATTAAGCTTGGAATACAAAGCCAAGTGTTGGTGGCACAGTCCTGTAATCCTCGCTTCTCAGGAGTCTGAGATTGAAGATTACAGTTTGAGGCCAGTCAAGGCAGAAAAGTCCCTGAGATCTTTTTTTTTTTTTTGTCGGTCATGAGACTTGAACTCTGGGCTTGGGTGCTGTCCCTGAGCTCTTCAGCTCAAGGTGAGTGCTCTACCACTTGAGCCACAGCACCCCTTCCGTCCCTGAGATCTTTATTTCCAATGAACTAGCAGAAAAGCAGGGAGTAGAGCTTTGGCTCAAGTGGTAAAATGCTAGCCTTGAGCAGAAAAAGCTCAGGCCCTGGGTTCAAGACCCCATACTGTCACTTGCATGTACACACACATATGCATACTTACACAAAATTGGAATGAAAGAACATGAGTTGCCAGTAGTTCAAGATTATTAAGCAAAATTAGTACTCAGATAAGTAATCAAATTAATTCCAACAGATGTAGTTTATGAACTTGCTATTTGATAAATTCTAATATTGTAGAAAGACATAAGTATATTCTGTTTCTGACATAGTTTGCTCACAACAAACTCTCTTAATTCATGTATAAGACTAAACTTATGGGCTGGGAAGGTGGCTCAGTGGTAGAGCGCTTGCCTTGTATGCATGAGGCCCTGAGTTTGATTCCTCAGCACCACATAAGCAGAAAAAAAAAGCCGGAAGTGGTACTGTGGCTCAAATGGTAGAGCGCTGGCCTTGAGCTGAAGAGCTGAGGGATAGCACCCAGACTCAGCATTCAGGCCCCACGACCAGACAAAAAAAAAAAAGACTTAACTTATCCCTCAGTGTGCATTATCTGCTTGGCTCTCTTTACCTACAGCCTTGTGTTTACCTTTGATGGCTTCCACAGGGAGGTTCTGTGCCAGGGATGTTTTCACAGGATGTTTGACTGAGGTAGTTACTACATTTCAGCCCAGAAGCAGCTACAGAGGAGGAATCACAGATGTTCTGCAAATGTTTTAAGATTAAAAGAGATCAAAGTCATTTAAGGGGGAGATGAGACAGGATAGATAGATGAGAAGACAAGAAGAGTAGGGTATTTTAAAGAAATATCAAGAGGACCAGACTCAAACATTAGAATCATGAATTAAAACACTAAAAAAACCTCATGCATGTAATCCTAGCTTTTCAGGAGCCTGAGATCTGAGGATCAAAATTTGAAGCCATGTCTTGCATGCACAAGACCCTGGGTTTAATTCTTCAGCACCACATAAGCAGAAAAAGCCGGAAGTGGCTCTGTGGCTCAAGTGGTAGAGCGCTAGCCTTGAGCTGAAGAGCTGAGGGACAGCGCCCAGGCCCAGAGTTCAGGCCCCAGACTGGCCAAAAACAAAAACAAAAACAAAACAAAAAAAAATTGAAGCCACCCTGAGCAAGAACTGTGAAACTCTTATCTCCAATTAGTCATCAAGAAAGATGGAAGTAGAGCTGAGACTCAAGTTGTTTCAGAAACATAGCCTTGAGCACAAAAGCTCACGGACAGCACACAAGGCCTGAGTTCAAGCCCCAGGACCGGCGCGCATGCACACACACACACACACACACACACACACACACACACACAAACCTGAGCAACTAGTTCTCCCTTCCTCCATACTTCCTTTTAGATGCCAAATTACAGGACAGGGAGACTTAAGAGCAGCCATCTGCATCTGCTTTTTACTATTTCAAAGAAATGGTAGGAAAAAAACAAAACAAAACCCAACGCTTTGGATTCTTCATGAATGGGTAAGATACAGAAAGATGGGCAGCATATCTTGGGAAAGAAAAGCCTAAGGTTCACCTATTGTCCCGGGGTTTTAGGGAGGTTCAGATTTATATCCATATTTGAGAGTAATAAACAACACCTATCTTGGCCTCCCAGAATCATTGTTTAATGGACCTGACTGTGTGTATTCTCCCAGCTCAGTAAGAATCAAGGCAGCAGATAAGCTCTGTCATTTTTGAGTCTTTAGCTCCTTTTTCTTAGGTGGGGAGTAGGGAATGTTTCTCCTAGTTTTTCATCCCTGTCTATTCTGTCATATTAAAATAAATGCTAAGACTTCTACCTTGTTGGGCTGGGAAGGTGGCTTAGTGATAGAGTGTTTTGTCCAGCATGCATGAAGCCCTGGGTTTGATTCCTCAGTGTCACATACACAGAAAAAGCCAGAAGTGGTGCTGTGGCTCAAGTGGTAAAGAGCTAGCTTTTACAAACGAAGCATAAGGACAGTGCCCAGGTCCTGAGTTCAAGCCTTAGGACAAAACAAAACAAAAACAAAAGCAAAAACTTCTACTTTGTGAGACTCCCCTTGATGTAAGACACCCCAAAATGCTCCCACGAGTAGATCTTGAGGATCCATGATTTGCATGGAAACTAGGAAGCTGAGGGAACACCTTCACCCATCATTCAGTGATATTGGAATTTATTTTTCATTTAAATGGGTGTGTTTTAATTATACATAACAATTGATTTCATTGTTCTATTGCCATATACATATAATGTCAACTTGTATTTTAATGTAATTAACATGCCCTGAATATTTTGTCATGGAAAAATCTGGCTCATTAGAGAACAAAACAATGCCTGGTGAGTATCCCTCTTACGAAAGGTAAAGGAGTTGGCAAGCCGGTGCCTTGTTACCAGATCTGATTATGTGTCACAAACTCTGCTGTCTGTGAGAAAGGGTGTAGCATCTGCTTTTTTGGGGGGGGGGGTCAATTCATCTTCTAAAATCTCTACTAGACTTGTCTGGTTTGGCTAGAATGCCCTCTGGGATGCTGTGGCCAGGAGCTATTTTCAAACCCCATCTCTAGACCAAGGTGTTTACTACATTTCCTTGCAGTATTCCCATACATTACCAGATGGCCCAAGGGTGCTGTGGCTCAAATTAGACCTGAAGCTCCAAAAGAAAGAGGTAGCTGTCTTGAATAATTTTGGTTATAGAAACCACAAGTTTCCACATGTGTCCTGAGACACAATCAGGTGCTTAACACTGTATTCTTCTTGCAGGTGTTTAAGTATTGGCTTGAGATACCAATTCTCGCCAATGTAGAAAGAAGAAAAATGGAATCTAATTCCAAATCTAATTCTGTTGCAATTTTCTTTTGTCCCTCCCAACATTTTCTTAACTAGCCTACTTTTGCTTTAATATTTCTAACAGAAATGCTTTGCTAATGCTTTGAGGCGGGGCTTTGGCACAGTTGCTTTTGTTTTTTCCGGACTCGGACTTTCTCTCCACATAATGTTGCATCCTGCTCTTTGAAATTCCTACTGAATTTGGAGAAATTATGTCTTGGCATCCAGTGTACTTTCCTGGAACACGATGTGTTGCTGACTACAGCCTGTTCAGTCCTCTTGACAACAAGTTTGCTTGTCTCATTTTACTTGAATATTCAAGGGTGAGTAAGAATCAGAGCAGAGAGCCTGGCTTACCACAGTCCATTCTATGGTTCATGCCGATACTCATTACTTTTATAATACCACTTGTGGATAAATTGATTAGATTAGGGTGAATCACCTGGCTGGCCAATGGCATTTGGAATGATTCTCCACGTGTGACTTTGTTGCACTATTACAAAATGTGGCAGGAGAGACCTGCCCAGTATTCAGTGCCGATGTTCATTTGTAACGCTGTCTTGAGGAGATGAGAGCGAATTGTTCCAGCAGCTCAGCCTGCTCTGCCAACAGTTCAGAGGGGGAGCTGCCAGGGGGACTGGAGACACCTGGGAACCTGCAGCTGGTTTTCACCGTGGTGACAGCCGTGATGATGGGTCTGCTCATGTTCTCTCTGGGCTGCTCTGTGGAGGTCCAGAAACTCTGGTCCCACCTCCGGAGACCCTGGGGCATCGCTGTGGGCCTTCTCTGCCAGTTTGGACTCATGCCTCTGACAGCGTATGTGCTAGCCATCAGCTTCTCTCTGAAACCAATCCAAGCTATCACTGTGCTCATCATGGGGTGCTGCCCTGGGGGAACCATCTCCAATGTTTTCACTTTCTGGGTTGATGGAGATATGGATCTCAGGTAAGTGATGCTTGGAAATGTGTCAGTCTCTCTCTTGGAACTGGAAGTAACTGACATCTTTGCATGCACAATACTTGCAGTTTTTTGGTAGATCCCCGTGGGAAATATCACACAGGTTGCAGAAGCTTGGTCAGCCACCGCCAGACTTTCTTTCCCGAACTCCAGGCTGCCTTTGAGTAGCCATCCTCTGCTTTCCTGCCTTCTATGCTCTGAGCAGTGGCAATCTGGTTTGTATGTGAAAATGGAGGTTGGACTCTACCTCACTGGGTGAGCTTTTTCCCAAGCATGAACTCACTCTCATCTGTGCTGACTGACATCATTAACCAAGAGTTCCTAGGACATCCACTGAGAATCCCACAAAGCTGACCTCAGTGATTGGAGGCAGGCATGGTGGTGGTTGTTGGTGAAGGGCATAACCAGAGGGAAGCCCTTGTAGCTTTCACCAGTACATGTTTCCTGAGCATCTATCTTGGGAAATAGTTATTTTGGGAAACTGAATAATGGAGCTGTAGGGGTATCTGATGGACATCCTGCTTTTAGTTCTTGTGGAGCCCTGTTGATTTGACTTGGGGAGTAGGATTTAAATTGTTCTTTCTTATTCCTTGGCAGATGTTTTGTGCTTCTCATTGGACTTGTACTCATTTTATTTGACCTTATTCCCAGATGTGGAATAAAGAGACATTAAGCCTTTATTTACACTTTAATGAGGATGAATGATTTGCATATTTGGGGAAAGAAAACATGTTTTGATGGGGGAAAAAAGCATTTGAGGAAAGAAAGATTGGAAAAAAGAAGAGCTAAAAACAGCCATTATAGATTCTTTGCTGAATTACTAATACTCTGTTTTACACTCTCTTCCTTTTCCCCTTTCACCACTCCCCATCAAGGGAACAAACTGCATACACGTTTAAATCTTTGTTCCATGTATTTGTCATTTAGTTGAGACTTACTATACAAAAAATGAATGACAGAATCAGAGGGGATGATGAGCTGGGGGCTGATATCACTGAGTGAGATGCAGGCCTGTGTTTCTAGTTTCCTGTGTGTGCTGATGTGTAGAACAGATTTTACCTATCAATTTTAATGTGTTCATACCATTCAGACAAGTAATTAGCATTCTTATGTCAGTGTCTTTAGTTGTCTCCTTAGGAGAAATTTGAAAAAAAATTTACTTGATATATTTTGTATCTTATGTCTAAGTACTAATATGCTACCAATTTAAATTCAATGAAGTTGATTATTAACAAAACAAAGAAATGATAAATAGTCTTCACACAAAGTCTACCTATCATTGATAAATGATCCGGAAACTTTTTGGAAAGTAAAAGGAAACTAAGATTTATTCAGTATCATGCTGAACTATGGGTTAGTTTCTTTTCTGGTTTTCATACTAACCTTGTCAGTGACCTTTTATTAAACTGAATTTTACAGCTGACAAAACTGTGAGTCAGACTGGTTAAGTAGTTTGTCAAATACCACTAAGAAGTATGGCAGAACTCACATTTGAATTCACATCTGTTTTATATCAATCTGCAACTTAGGCATCCCCACGACATCTAGTAACATAACTGTATGTTCTGTTATGTGTAGAAGCATAAATCTTGAAACAATGTTTTGAAACATTTCTGTTCTGGGAAAGGGAATGTTTATTACTTTCATCTCTTACTGGCAATGAATAGAAAGTCTGTGAAAGATAAAGCTCATTTTACTTCTCTTAACCAATCTATCTTTGTAGCTTTTAACTTTGGTTAGATAATCAGACCAAACTAAATCTAACTAAACAAAAAGAAATTAAAAAAAAAAATAAAATTTAGGAAATGAAGTTTTAAACCGCGGACTAGGAAATCTTATCGATTTAAGTCATAAAATCTTAATTTTCAGTAAAAGCTTCAGATAGAAAATACAATATTACTGACTGAAATAATATTCCAGTTATAGATTGCTTCACAATTGATTATAATTAGGAAACAATTGCTTCCAGGTCCCAGGACTTTTCATCTTTGCATGGGTTGCTAGGCTGCCAATACATTTTGTACCCTGTCTTTTTCCAGTGTCCCTCCTCGGGGCAGGCCTTATTTTTGGCCAAATGCAATTTTTTTTTTTTTAACTGTTCTCTGAACTTTCAGTCTCTTGGTTATAATTTTCGAGTATGTGAACAAGGTAGTCTCTGGTGTCAGATTGCCTGTTTTCAAATTCTGACCACAGATCTCTTTTCTGCAATGGAAATTATAAGCCTTCATCTGTGGTATTTATTGTGAAGAAAAAAATGCCCATGTTTAAATTACAAGTTTCCTAGTAGCTGAGCGCTGGTGGCTCACACTTGTAATCCTAGCTACTTAAGAAGCGGAGACCTGAGGATTGCAGTTCAAGGCAGGCCCAGGCAAGAAAGTCCGTAAAACTCTTATCTCCACAGAACTATCAAAAATGTCCAAAGTAAAGCTGCTAGCCTCAAGCAAAGAAGCTCAGGGACAGCACCAAGATTCTGAGTTCAAGCCCCAAAACTGGCCCTAAAAAGAAAAAAAAAAAAGTTTCTCATTTCCCCACTACTAAAAGGAGCAGAAATCCCTAAGCCAGTTTGCCCTACTTCCCCGGGTTTTTTCTTACTAACCTGTTAGACACAACTGGTTTACAGTAAAAATGGACAAAGTACTGTTTTAAGTACTGCATGCATTTCCAGCTTTCATCTATCCATATTCTTCACAGACCCTTTAATGCTAACTGGCCTCTTTTGTCTCCTGCAGTCATGATTCTTCCTAAAAACTGTCCTAGAGAGAAATTGGCCTGTATGCTAGAAGAGTTTTATACACAGCCTGCCCCTCTGCTGAGTTCAGCTGACTTTGGCTGGGTTTTTGCACATGTTTGGGAGCTGTTTAGATGTAGACCAGTGTTGGAAGTTCTTGGCTGAAACAATGAAGTTCTCTTGGGTGCAGGTGCTACTACTTTCCTGAAGGCTAGCTTAGACCTAATCACAGGGTATTAAGAAAGAGGAAGCAATCAAGGTTTCTTTAGGCTGGAGGTGAACCTACTTGATCATTTCTGCCAAGGCAAATTGCAAGGCCAGCCATGATTATGGAGTAGGGGATTCTAATTTGTTTCTTGATGGAGACAAAATGGATGAACTATGAAGTTACATGGCAGAGGGAACAGACAAGGGAGGGGTAAAAGAACTAGAGGCATTTTCCCAAGATCCTGTAATAGAGATGGACAGCGTTCTTGCCTTGGCGAAGAGGACCGGAACAGGAAGGCCTGGGGAGAGTGTTGCAGTGAAGTGCACCACTCTGGAAACAGTAGCTGCATTGCTTACCAACGGGGCTGGTTCGGCAGGTTATGCAAATTCTCTCTGCTTCAGTTTCCCTATTTCTAAAACCAGGAGAAGCATACTTCTTTCATTGGTTGTCAGCACTGGCTAACTTAGTAGACCTAAGAGTTAGACTTTCATTTGGTACAGCTGGCTATATGAACTATGGTATGAAACAGGCAAAAAAGCTGGGAGTTCTGCCAGGACTCTGTTTTAGTTATTGCTCATGACACAAGTTAGTTGCCCACTGGGGGCATCATTTTCTTTATTTGTAAAACTTGCCAAGGTCTTTTTGTTGTTGTTGTTGGTTGTGGGGCTTGAACTCTTGGCCTAAGCCCTGTCCCTCAGCTCTTCAGCTCAAGGCAAGTGATCTACCACTTGAGCCACAGCGTCACTTCTGGTTTTCTGAGTGGTTTATTGGAGTTAAGAGTCTCGCAGAGTTTCCTGCCTCGGCTGGCTTTGAATCTTGATCCTCAGATCTCAGCTTCCTTAGTAACTAGGATTACAGGCGTGAGCCACTGACGCTCAGCTATCTTTTATTTTATTTTATTTTTGTTCATTTGTTTTTGTTTGTGTTTTTTGTTTTGGTCCTAGTGCTTGAACTCAGGACTTCTTTTGCTCAAGGATAGTGCTGTTCCACTTGAGCCATACCACAGCTCCACTTCCAGATTTTTGGTGGTTGATTGAAGATAACAGTCTCACAGAGGGGCTGGGAATGTGGCTTAGTTGTAGAGTGCTTGCCTAGCATGCATGAAACTCTGGGTTTGATTCCTCAGTACCAACCACATAAACAGAAAAAAGACAGAAGTGGTGCTTGGCTCAAGTGGCAGAGTGCTAGCCTTAAGCAAAGAGAAGCTCAAGGACAGTACCCAGGCCCTGAGTTCAAGCCCCAGAACTGGCCCAAAAAAAGAGTTGCACAGGCTGGCGTTGAATGGAATCCTCAGATCTCAGCTTCCTGAGTAGGTAGGATTGCAGATGTGAACCATGGGAGCCTAGCTCCAAGGTCCTTTCTTTATATTGTAAAATAGGTAGAACCAAATTTGTCACTTACGCAAATTTTAAATGTTATCATTCAGTAGTGTTGAGAACATTCACATTGTTGAATAACCATAACAACAGCCCATCTGTCTCCAAAACATCTTTATCTGTTTCAACTAAACAATAGCTACACTGGTAACCATTATTCTATTCTCAGTTATGTGAATTCAACTATGCAGGACACCTTATGGAATATTATGACATATATAATATGTCATAATATTGATTATATGTGGTTATAATTGTATGCATTTTAACGTCACATAACAGCTCCAGAGATTAATAGGAGTAATAATTCTGTTTTTTTTTTGTTTTTTTTTTTAATTTAGTTTAATTTTATTTGTAAACATACTGTATAGAGGGGTTACAATTACATGGGCAGGATAATGCGTACATTTCTTTTTTTTTTTTTTTTTTTTTTGGGTCCAGTCGTGGGGCCTGGGCGCTGTCCCTCAGCTCTTCAGTTCAAGGCTAGCGCTCTACCACTTGAGCCACCGCGCCACTTCCAGCTTTTTTTTTTTTTTCTTTTTTGCTTATGTGGTGCTGAGGAATCGAACCCAGGGCCTCAGGCATGCAAGGCAAGCGCTCTACCACTGAGCCACCTTCCCAGCCCCAATGCGTACATTTCTTACCAAGCATTGCAGCCTCCTCCTTTGGTTTACCC